CTATTTCATATTCATGTAGAAGCATAACGAACCAAAATGGTGTTAGATATTCAGACAGTACATCATATTTTAAAAAATACAGCAGTTCAAAATGTAAACAAACCGTTTGTTTACATTACGGACTTGACTTCCCCTTTAAACTTATCGAGGTTCGAACAACTGACCCCTGCAATTCAACAACTTGTTAACAAGTTGCAACTTGATAAAATGACAACATCGTTACAACTTGTTGACAAGCTTGCTACAAGCCTGTTGCGAACACATCTTGTTGACAAGATGTGAGAAAATCTTGTTGACAAGTTGTGAGAAAATCTTGTTGATAAGATGCGAGAAAATCTTGTTGACAAGATGTGAGAAAATCTTGTTGATAAGATGCGAGAAAATCTTGTTGACAAGATGCGAGACAAGACAAGATGCGAGATTTCTGCGTGTGTGTGCGCCGCGCAAGATATGCTAAAACATGTGCGAAGATTGCGCAATAATTGTGCATTTAAAACCGCGCGCAAATCACGAAACCTGATCTGAGTGCAGACGCGCATCGCACGACTGTCTGACGATGGACGCTCAACGCTAAATACTTTACATTTGCGTATCTGATTCTATACGTACATCTTCACGTATATACACACTGGGTTATACCGCCGTATGTTCGCCCAAAGGTAGGAAGTACATTATTAATTTGTAAATGTCTTTTCTGGAAATCATTATATGTCTGGAAATCATTACACAACCTATCCAATTCCGGCAACGGAAAAGCATAGAATTTATATTCATCAGTTATTTGAAGGTTTACTTACGAAATTCCTTAATAAAAACTAGTACATTCTGCTATAAAATATACTAGATAGGGATAGGGGGATTTTGGACACGATTCCTTTAGAAAGTACCTGATACATCGCGAAGCCGAAGCATGCTTCGAATGAAACGTGATCGATACTGTAATTCATGGATCATGGTCAATTGCCATCAAGTGTCAAGTATTTTTTTTTACGCGCGTACTCCTGTAAGAAACTTTTCGCCAAATCGTCACGCGTGAACTCACGATGAACGAGTTTTGAGATTATTCGTGTAAAAATAATTTTCAGGGGAATAGGTTTTGTTTGAGGGTATATACATAGGACACCCTTTTCTTTAGAGGTCAACTTTTAGCGCCTTGCTTTATGTATCAAGTTACAGCCATTTACTTATTTGCGCAAGTTTGCGCTTTTTATAACCTCGTGGATTATAGCATTTTCGGATTATATTGCGTAAGAAGTGTACACGCGAGCAAGGGCGGGATGATTTCGTTTTTTCTGGTCCCTTTTTACACTGCTGCTGACAGACATAACCAATACGAACAAGTAGAGAGTCGCGCCGCATGTAAAAGTTGTAAAAGTTGGCTTGGGAATGAAGCGGAGACTACAACTATTAAGTGTCAAGTGGGTGGGTGGCAGAACATAATTATGTCAACATAATATTCGTAAAAGCTTTGTTATAGACAAATTTGGCTAACCCATTCCACGACTTTGAATGATTCACATTCCTAGTGACTATTGTTCCTGTTTACAGAAGCATAAAAAAGAACAAAAGTATTAACTAAGATTAGAGTTATGTATAAGAGTTATATTCATTCATGTAGATAACTCTAAAGCTTAGTTATAGTTACTTTGTTCTATTCTATTGTATGCTTCTGTAAACTAGAAGTCTAGACTCTAGAACAATGATAATTATAGGCATGTGAGTTATCTATAAAGTGTAAACAAACGTTAGTTAAATTTGTCTATACTAATGCTGTTAACACAGATTGATATTTCCCCTGAAAACGTGCAGAGAAACACGTCATACATAAGTTAGCTTGTTATAATTGATAGAATAACTAATGGAATTATAAATACCGTATGGGAATCATTCTACACGATCTTAAACCATTATGGCTTAATAATATATAACACAAAATAGGCCAGTTTGAGTATATAGCTATTAATCTTCGACTAGACCTTCTAAATTAATCAAATATCTTTACAAAATCATTAATAATTCATGACGAAAATTCAAAAGATGTTTAATGAGGTGTTGCATCTGAATCTGTTTCCTCGATTTTCTCAGTTCAAATCACCTCTTTTTGAATGATTTCTTAAAACACAACTGTTGAACGACCATATATAGTTATATTACAGTCAACCTTTGCGTTGAATTTCTCTGCTCTGAGCAAAACACAATGACAGGTAACATTACATGCGCGAAGTGAATTTCCCGCATAATTTCAGAATATTTAGCGCTTCGCAAGAGAGTTAAAAATGAGCTTTATAACATTAAGATAAAAATTACAATTGTTGATATCATGAATATATTTCTTTAAAATATGAGCTTAAAACAGTGTGAATATAGCCTAATAATATCACTAAGTAATATATCACTAAGTAATACAGTATATGGAAACGCTATCACACGATTCGGATTGATATAGGTATACAACTAGCCCGTATATGTAACGAAAATACAAAACCAAGACTCGTCTAAAGGGATTTTATAACAAAATCTCTGTTTACTGAATACTGTAAACAAGTGCGAAGGTGTTTCTAGTAATTTTAGAATTTTGTTTCATTGTTCTTGAGAATTTTCAACTGAGAAATTGCGATTTGCATTGTTCCAAATTTGTCCCTATATTCAAAACTGGGTGTGTTAGGGACTTGGGTTAGTAGCGCGCCAGTTCAAATTAAACACAAAATTCGTTTGGGAAATTTCAATATTTAAAGTGCATAAGATACTATTTGATAATTTCCTTCAATTTGTAGTAATTCTTCTACCAGTATTGTTAATATAATATAGAACATATAATTCGAAAATCCATTTAATTCTATATATGTTGCAAATAGGAATTAAGAATTTCCATTTCTGTAAAGCATGCAACGTCATACATTCACTACATAAAACTAAAAATGAAGGCGCTTTTAGCTAAAAACCAATACAATTCTTCCTCAAACTGTTAAAGTTTATAACCAGAAATAGGAAGAATTAAATAATACGAGATAAACTGGAAAAATATACGATTTTGAGAAGGATTGTTAGACTTTATTCACGAAGTCACACCCTTTAAAATTTAGAATTCTGAATACGTTCTCCTCAATTCTCAAATTCTCGTATAAGATTTGGAAATTCGAGAAAATATATATGCCTTTTGAAAACTAAAACGCTTTATCTGAACTGTATTACCTTAAAAAGATAAAAAGAAAACTAAAAACTACCTACATTCTATAGTATATAGTAAATATATAATGGCCACCGAAATGCCCCGAATTTTTTGTTTGTTTCACAGTTTCACTAAAACTTTGCTTTTGACATCAACAAAATTTGCAAAAAGCCCAGTACTTACCAGTAAAGGGGTTTCTACATGGTTCTCCAGTCTAGTATGACTAAATTCAAGGCTTATGACATTGTATATTTTCTGCCGTTCTGTGTTCATGTAATACTTTGCGAAGTGCATCATTGACATTTCAATTTGTTGTTGTGTGTTGACATCAATAACATCGACAACTCGTCTTGAACCTAGATTTATAAAATGTTTTGGTAAAATTTAAGCCTAGAAGTGGCCATATTCATAAGAAACACGTGCTAAACTTGCTTTTTAGTCAGCTATACGGCCAGAATAGTGGGAAATATGATTGAAATTTAGCAGTTTCCTACGCAGAGAAATAGTAATGTAATTTGTATAATTTTCAATAAGCAGTAAAATTGTCCTGCCAGTCTTGTATTTAAAACACATTTTACTTGAATTTAAGCCATGAAATGGCAAAATTTAAAAGAAAGACATACTAAAGTAGCTTTTTAATGGGAAAGGAGGCCAAAATAGCGAAACTGAGATGTGAAATTTCGATGTTTTGAACGAAGGGAAGGGCATAACTATAAATTTCCATGAGAGGGTAATCTCATTTGTGCATGCATGCCTTGTCAAATTCGGCTGGCTTGCTCCTACATTTATTATATGTTGTAGTCGAATTTAAGTCAAAGAATGGTCATATTTAAAAGCAACACATACTAAGCGTACTTTTTATCGAGGAATAGGGGTCAACATAGGGAAAATGAAATAGAAATTTAGCCGTTTCGAAGAGGAATCGAGGAATATATTAATTAAGAATTTCATTTGTGCCTTCCATGTGCCCATTGTGGTTTTAAGGGTCACACGTAGTTTTGTTGTTCAATATTAACAAATTTAAAATAAAGACATAGCTACTAAAAAAGCTTGGGAATTGGGGCACGCCGAATAGCGAATTGAGGAATGAAAGTTTCTGTTTCGTACGAAGGGGGTGAGGGAAATTAATTTGTGGCTGGCTTGTCCATGCATGGACATGCTTTCGAAGCCCAAAGCAACTGGCATTCGTTTAAAACCGTATTTGAGTTGCAAGCGAGCCCAGAAATAGCCAAATTTAAAAGAAAGACACACTGAACTTGCCTAATTTTGAGGCACAATGCCAAAATAGAGAAATTTAGGATTGAAATTTAGCTGTTTCGGAGGAGGTTAATTTGCAGTCCCTTTTGGACTTATAAAGACCACAAGGCGCTCGACTTAAAATCGCCTGAATTTAAAAGAAAGACACAATAACCTTGCTTTTAATTGAAAAAATGGGGGCTAAATAAGGAATTTTACCAACGAAATGTTTAATATAGCTGCATGTCTATGCGAACGAAGGGGACGAGTTAATTAATTTGAAGAATGAAGTTTAGTCCCCGGCCATGCCAAGGGAACTCGCAAATGCTATTATACATGCACAAATAACTAAAACATATACTAAAGGTTGTCATTAAAGGCATTTGTTTAGGAGAAAGTTAAATGAATTTTGCAGTGTTAAATGGTGAAATATCGCTTGCAATTGCGCTTCCCTGTAGCCATTTTAATGCATGATAAAACAATATGTGCAATATCGCACGCGCGTTTTGAACTGCTGTCTTCAACTTTTAGCACGCAAAATGATATTTTTATTGCCTATAAATCATTCTATTATGATTTTGAATGTATTTTTATAATAAACAGCCATGATTACTTGATAAAAGACAGTGAAATCGTCAAGAGCATATTCGAAACGTTGATCAGTTCAAAACTGATACAGCACAGTCTGCAAAGGCCGACTGGTCGACTGGTCAGAATCAGCTTTTACAGTGAATTTGAAGGTTTAATTTGGTCGTTTTTAGCCTTGCAAAATCATTTTAAACCACATTTAAGGCAGAATATACGGCAGATTTGTTAAGAAGGCGAAGTATTGTGGCTTTCGCCTTGCTATTTCATTGTCGGGAAGAAGATTTTAGCAAGACTGAAACGCAGTTGAATTTTTCACTGGCCCATTGAAAAGCGCCTTTTTATTGTGAACCTACCGACATAGTTCTTTACGTCGTCTACTGTAAATTCAGACGAGGGCATTCTAAAGTAAAACAAATATACTGATAATTTATCAAACCATAAAACCTTCTCCCCAGTAGGAAATTATTTGAAATGCATGCAATATTTAGAAGGCAAATTACCTCATTCCTAAGCCTTCACTGGATTCAAACAAAAAAGGCGAGTCAAAGCCGTGTTCTTGTATATATTTCAAATTAACATCTATGTATTAAAGAAAAAAATATTATTCCAAAATCTATATTACACAACAACTTCACCAGCGAATAATGACCATGGTTTGGTTGAATACAACAATACTAACCATTGCCATTGGCTAACTTTTGGACGAAATTCCCTTGTCGAAATTTTGGGTCTGCAAGCTTATCCAGCACGTTAAAAGTCCTTTTCCCTTCAATCTCATCATCCAAATTATCGTCGTAATTCCTTCGCGTATAAGCTCTCTGTATCAAAGCACAAAATGAATACGACATAATTATAATATAACAGCTACAAACTATGAACATACAAATATATTAAAATTCTTTACAGCCATTTGCTATGTGTTTACATACAAATATTTAGCTATACTTTACCAAATTTCGCCCGCTATCCTCTTCCATTCTGCTGCAGATGAAATGACAAGCAGTTCAAGTCATAATGCAGTGAAATCCACCACAATTTGTCGGAAATATAAGATGGAAGACACAGTCAACCGTAACATGATATGCACACAAAGACATTGACATAATGGCCATCAAGCCATGCCAATTTCGTCACCGGTTTCCCGCGAAAATTGCGCGCATTTGCAACAAAATATGTATATTTCATTTTTCACGCGTGTCGATTTCAAAACAAACCCTCACACAATACAAACTCATTTCCTGCTGTTTCTCGACCGTTTTCCCTGTGATTTTTCAACACTCTGGTGGTTGACACGTCATAGTTGGAAAATAAGAATTCTGATATTAGTTACCCATACCACAATTGGCATCACTTTAGACTTAGTATTTAGACTATTTATACATGAACTTGCGGAATAGTGCTCGACACAACTGTCTCTCTGTAGCTCAGTTGGTTAGAGCGCTGCACAGAGGGCCTATAGGCCTATACACGCGTAAAAATCTCACATCTTGTTGCCAACAAGCCGTCAAAAAGTTGTGTTCGCACTGCTTTTCCCAAGTTGTCAACAAGTTTGGAACAAGCTGTTAACATCTTGTAACAACCTTGTTGATATTATCAGATTTGTTGCAAGGTTGTTCCAACAAGTCCAATACAGTCATGGTATAACAATATTGTTACTACCTTGTGTCGTCAACCTTGTGACATTCTTGCTATATCATGGCTGTATCACACTTGTTAGAACAACCTTGTAGCAAGTCTGATAATGGCATCAAGCTTGTTACAAGTTGTTAACAGCTTGTTCCAAACTTGTCACAACAACTGGGAACAAGCAGTGCGAACACAACTTGTCGACAACTTGTGAATAGATTTGTAACAACTTGTTTGCAGACCTGTAACAACTTGTGCGTTTTTACGTGTGTAGTTGGTTAACCGAGTCAAATCCAAGTCCAATCCGAGCACGAGTCACTGTTTAGAGGTCTTTGTAGTTCAATGACTTAGTACCCTAATTCTAACCCTATTCGATTGTGAATTTTCTTCAATTTCGTCTTTTTTACGTGACTCGGATTTGACTCGGTAAATGGATTTACTTTTAACAACTTGACATGAAACAAGCAATTATCAGACTTGTTACAAGGTTGTTCTAACAAGTCTGACACAGTCGTCATTTTTTTTATATTCATTCATTTCCTGATGATGACTATAGTTTAGTCGAAACGTCGAAATAAATTTTTCAAAATGCTTTCAATTTTCGGAGTATCTATTGTTTTGTATTTTATCAAAATACTCAGTGAACCCGTAATTTATAACAAGAATGTTACAAGGTTGTTCTAACAACTAACAAGTCTGATACAGTCATGATATAACAAGAATGTTACAAGGTTGTTCTAACAAGTCTGATACAGTCATGATATAACAAGAATGTTACAAGGTTGACGACACGAGGTTGTAACAATATTGTTATATCATGACTGTGTCGGATTTGTTGGAACAACCTTGCAACAAGTCTGATAATTTCAACAAGGCTGTTCCAACTTGTTAACAGCTTGTTCCAAACTTGTTGACACTTGACACAGGCAGTGCGAACACAACTTGTTGGCAGACTTGCTACAAGATGTGAGAATTTTTGCGTGTGTAATAAATATACAAAAATTCCACTCGAAAATTTCCATTGACAAACCCTTCAACGATAAAGAAAATTAAATTCATTTTTCACAACCATTCGAGCGATATTTTTTATTTACATAAATAAAAAACCCGCCCTACACAAATATTAATATACATATTTTAGCACAATATATAAAACTTGCATAAACATATACAGAATCGCTACATTTATTATAACCTGTACAAAAGTATTTATAAGTTTATAAGGCATATTCATGTTTTTAAAGTCTATATATTTTTAGTGAACATGAACTCATAGACACGGTTTTTTTCTTTAATATGCGTAAATCTTCGTTCTGTGGACATCGCTGTCGCTGCATTCGCGTCCTCTGTTAAAGTAATAGAAACTGCCATCACGTCTTTTCAGCTTTTTCACGTAGCCATTTGGAGGCCATCTGTCAACCTGGAAACGAAGAATTAGGGTGTGGTCATTAGTTAGAAAGTTGGGGCCTGGGGAGGTAATGGTCATTTTGTCAGTTTGGTTGCCTAGTGTTGCAACATGAGTGAAGGAGTTGGTTTTTCGAAAACTACTGGTTAACTTAGTCCTAGGTTAACCTAAAATTCAAAGCAAAAACAGCCAACAGCTTGTTTATAGACTTGGAAATCTTTCTTCAGAAATCTTGTCTGGAAGAATAGCCATTTTCTTTTCTGGGGCCTCTTGTTCAAAGCTAGACTGAGCACTAACCCTGTGACCAGGATTCTCTTCCTGCAGCATGCATGACGACCCCCATGTTCTTTCTACAACCGGCAAATCCTTGGGTTACAGAGTAACCAAATACAGAGGTCCGTGTCAGCCAAAAACCTGTAACCACCACCACACCATGCATTTGCAATCACAAAAGCACTCACAATGTCATCATCATGTTCCTAGCCAATGTGCTTACAAGAAGCACTCACCCCCTGAATGTTTAAGCCAAAATGGGAATTGTGAACAACCTCTCATGCTGGTTATGCAAACATTGAAGGTGCCAACATGAATTCGAACTTCGGTAAATGTATTTGTTTATTCTGCACCAGGGTCAGTCTCTGCACTATTAATAGTACAAGCAAAACAAAGAAATTATTAGTTTTCACATACTTCCTCAACTTTCTGTACATGTGTATATTCTGTTTCATCTCTATATCCAGCCAACTGAAATCTGTAAGCATCCTCTACCTCGGCACTCCAGCGTTTCGGTCTCGACACTGACTTGGGTGCGTCCATCCTGACAAGAAAAAATGCATTCCATCATTTTAAAAGATTCTATAATATACACAAGCTTGCATATATACCAAACATTTGGGTATGCAAGTTGTACTCCACTACACATTTCTAACGAGGCCTTGCTTACAAGTATATTTTTAGGCCTTGTATATTTACAGACCTGATATTTTTAAGCCCTGGTCAAACAAGGATGAGAGTTGAGAAGCGAGAGTTTGCATGAAGGTTTTCGCAACTCTCACGCCACAGCCAAGCGAGAACAAGAGTTGCATGAGAGTTGGTGCTCGCAAGGCAAAAACTCTCATCAAACTCTTAAGCTGGAGTTACACAAGCAACAAAATTGCTGCAACTTGCAACAAAATCTGATTTCAACGCATGTTAAGTAGAAATGTCGACACATGTTGCCTTGTGATTTGTAATTTATGTGTAAACATTTTCAATTAACGTGCGTTGAAATCAGATTTTGTTGCAAGTTGCAGCAATTTTGTTGCTCATGTAACTCCACCTTTATCAAAATTTGAACCAGTTCATGCATGAGAGTCGATGAGAGTTGGCAAACGCAAGCAAGAGTTCCAGCTTTCATTTCAGGCTTTATACAACTATGATCTCAGCTAAACCATTAAGCAACGATGTTCCCTAATGCAAGCAGATGTATGTAACGAAAGTACTGATGAAACGATCCCTAAATATTTGGGTTTATATATACTTTAATATATTGGGCTGCTATGGCATTTTCAAGTTGACTTTCGCCATATATTTCGTTGTATTTACTCCAAATAACATACAACACAACTTACACAAGTATTTTGCTGGGTTTTTCCACCAGTAAAATATTGGTTAGCAGACAGCAAGCCACAAATAAAAATATTAATTCCTACACACGCTAAAAACGTGTCAAAATTACAAAATATTATTTCCGAAATGAGAACCACTGAATTTAAAGTTTGTAACAAAAATATAAGTGAGAATTTTACCTGATAGTCTGTTGTGAACGCTTCTTTTATTTTATAAACGAAGGAAAATTTAACCCGCTTGCTTTCTTCTTGCTTACAACTTATGAAATAGAAGCTTTTGCGTATTTTGAAAAATAAATTTCACCTGCCTCTAAATTTCCAGCAAGCTGATTGGCCAGTTACAAATGTTACTATGACAACGCCAAACATTGAACGAACATCCACTGTTGACGCCAGTCACCATGGCAACGGCGTACGTAACAGCTACGCCAATCACCATGGCAATTCCGAGGGATTCCGATTTTGTGCCGAAGGTACTATTGATGCAAATGTAAATAAACATGGCTGCCCAACCAGAAGATCCGAAAGCTTTGAATGACAAATATTCAAGGTTAGCAGCTCTTTCTGCAAATAATTGAGCAATCGCTATTAGATATTTTAATGAATGCAAAGGCAAAACAAAATGATATTTAATTTTATGTTTTTAGTGTTCCATCCGATGACAGTCGCACACAAGAGCTTACGTGGAGAAGATTATTTTTGCGGAAGGGAAAACTACGTGCTTCGAGTAGAACGTCCGCTCTCATGTCAGGATTCGCAATGGTAAAATTTTTAGGCTTTTCAGCACTGCCATTATCTAAAAATGGACCTGAATGAAAACAATGTCTACTCTCGCGTACAAAGTTCATGTTTGTATTCATAACAAGAATAATCAGGGGCTGTTTAATACATGATCATGGGATCATGATTCATGCAAGATCCCGTTTTGCTGGGAGGAGTCGAGTGCCTCTCAGGATAATTTTGACGTATTGAAATTATGAAATAAGTCACGGTTCATGATTCAGCAAAACTGCATTATTTTTCTAGTGATAAATTAGGCCTGTTTTATACGTCGAATTTTGGTCGCGTCGAATGCAATTAAGACAATAGATAATGAGATGATTGCATTCGAGGCGACCGTATAGAACAGGCCTTATAAACGAAAGGTTGTTCAAGAAGCAATAAATATCTTCATCAACTACAAGAATATAAACGACATCTTCTCGCATTAAACATTTGAGTTCTTTTAATTAACCAGTGTTTGGACTTTCGTTTAAGGCCAATAACTTATTTCAATACATCAAAATTATCCCAGTTTGCTGGGAATGGAAGACGGGATATCATCTCGGCAAACCAGGTTCATGTAAACAGACCCTCAGTCAATCAGCCTATGGCAGTTAAACATGATGATTGGCTCATCAGATTGAAATTACAAATATGAAAGTTTCACATATGAATATGGACAACGTTTTTATATGTGACATATCCTTAGATACAAACGTTTGTAAATTTTACTTTTCCTTTCTCCAATCTAAGGTTGCGATGGTTGAGATCCAGATTGACCCTGGCTTACCCTCTGGTTTGATAATTGCCTTCAGTGTGTTAACGACCATCTTAATTTCCATTCACGTGTTTGCGTTAATGATCTCCGTCTGCATCCTCCCAAACCTGGACAGCTTTGCAAGCAGTTACAGTCTGAACAACAAAAACTTTGACAACTCTCTTCACGAACAGATGCATTATTATATCGAAACGGCATGGCTATTTTCGACAGGTCTCGGCACCTTACTCTTCCTTGCCGAGGTTGCCATAGTTGCGTGGGTACAGTTTTACAACAAGAGCAAAGCAGCTGCCATTGCTTCGACTTGTGTTCTTTTGCCTGTTGGTGTGGTGTTCATTTGGTTTGCATTGCATTTCTATAAAATACTGGTGAAGCATAAATACGAGCAGTCATCACAAGGTCTTGAAGAGCTACAAATGTATGTTGACAAGTTACAACCAACAGATATACATACAGTTTGATAGTTTGTGGCCGAGATGCATAAAAGAGTATATAAATTATCAAGTCCAACCATTGGACATGGCTTACTAGTTCAACTACAAATTTATTTACATGTATGACAACATATTGTTGTTTTTAGATGATAACTTTATATGTCAGAGCTTTGTATATATTAGTATTGTAAGTACACTATTAATTATTACTTCTGCCATTAGGAGACATACCTACACAAGCGCAAATAATGTACATAGTATTATTACAATTTGTTAGAAAAATAACTCTCAAAACCTAGGTATAATGTTGGTATATTTGATGTATAAATCTTACTAGGAAAGCTGTACAATAATAAATAACATAGTTGTAGACAATTTTATCTTTGATCTTGATACAAGGACATTGTAACATTGAAAGATAAATTCTGGGTAAAAAATGATCTCTGCAGAATACAAGTTTCAATTATTGATTTTCGCACTGTTCTAGAAATTTCTCTTCTGCCTCTTTGGTTACTGCAGTTTGATCAAGTAATTCACACTAAAATATAAAAAAATTGGATTATAAATTAAGTAAGCTGAAAAGATTTGTGACCCTATTTGTAATCAACACAGGGTCCGGTTGTTCAAAGCTGTTCAATTTAATTTATTTATATTTAGCAATAACCCTTTGTTAATATTTCAAAACTTCATAGAAGAAAACTCCTACTGATCCAGACAAGATTTCTGAAGAAATATTTCCAAAATTATGTGAAGCTGAAAGTTTGCTTTGAGTTGGAAGTTTGCTTTTAGTTTTAAGTTATTAAACCAGCTAGGGTTATTATAAGCTCAAGTATCATAGTTTCACACACCTTGGGAATAGGATAAATAGTTGGTTGTGGTGCACCCTCCCGGCCAAAATCTTCCATTGTCCCACACTTAGCAATATCTTCCACCCAGACTCCAGTGTAAAGTTGTCCTTTATTCAAGTAGAAAAATTTCCCTTCCCCGTGTTTTTTATCTTCTTTCCACAAACCCTCATATCTGTTTTCATTTGCTATAATATAAAAAGAAACTGATGTTCAAGCAAGTATTATTCTTTAACCCATGCATTGAGTGGGAGCACTCTCCCCTTGACAAGCAAAATTGTCTGACATTTGACAGTAAAATGATAAAGTAGGGCACATCCTGGTGCATTGCCACAGGGTTAAGGTGGTAAATTGCATAAAAGTATACCTAATCTGAGCATTCCTTGTCCATTTTTCAAATCATTAAACCACTCTCCCTCGTACACAGAACCGTCACCATAGTACATCCGGCCCCATCCACTCCGCTTGTTTGTGTACCACTCCCCTTCATAGTATTCTGTATTGGTGTAAAAATTTGTACCATAGCCCTGAAAATGTATGACCAGGATGAAATGTCTAAAAGTGTCTAGTATTTATATTAACTTAATTGTGTTATAATGAACTAGAGGTCCAATAAGGACCTAAATAGAGTCCCTAATAATCCATTGAGCATCGATCAGTGCTCTCCCCTTGATGAGTAAAATTGTCCGGCTTTAGACAGAGTAAAATAGTCTGTCTGGTGTTAGACCGGAGTAAAATAATAACTTAGGATGCATCAGGTGAAGTATGTTTTAATTTAATGGGTTAATTTAATGTTGGTCTAGTATGTGTTGCTACAAGAAGAAAACTAACTTTATTTAAACTGGATAGCTCTATCAGTTCTAAATTGTTCTGTAATTTAGGAAGAATAAAGTTTGATTTAAATATACAAAACAATAATAGCCCAAAAAATGGTAAATATTTTAAAACGTTTTCATTACTCAGTGGTTCCCACAATTTTTCATACTGCACATCACATACATGTCGTTTGTCGTTCTTCCATCCTCCAGAATAGACTTTCCTGAACACGTCGTTACTGGGATAACTCAGAGTACCAAACCCACATCTCTGGTCATCCTTCCAATCTCCGTCATATATCGCACCGGTTTTCTTCCAAACCTGTGTACCTTTCCCTTAACAACAAATACAAACAAAACCTTACATGCACTGATACACTATTCAGAGGGCCCCCTATACTTTTTGCGTGAAGCGCTTGTTTTACTTAGCCGTGAAACGTGATCAGGCCCCCTATACTTTTTTTTGCGTGAAGCGTGAAGGGCTTATTTTACTTAGCCGTGAAACGTGATCGATGATTTTCTTAATCCGTGACTCGTGAAAAGGCAAAATATTTTTACGTGAAAGCATATTGTGAAGAGGTATAGGGGGCCCTCTATTCATAATAATGAATCGAGAACCATTTGCAGGTATTTCAAAATAAGGGCATTTCATAGTTTATTGTATCAACCATTGAGCCCTATACTTTATTATTTTTAGTTTTTTTACTCTGCCTATATACACCAGACAATTTTATTCATCAGGGGGGGGAGGCAGATGCTCGATTACTTTCAAACAAATTGCTCTCATTGATCCAGACAAGATTTCTGAAGAAATATTTCCAAGTTCCTAAACAAGCTGTTGGAAGTTTGCTTTAAATGTTAGGTTAACCTGCCCCCAGAAAGCTATTATGTTTATGTCTCCATTTTTTGTACGGGGGGTGACCACACTCAAATCGAAGCATACAAATATACATCATATATATGTCTTACCGTTTTTCTTGTTATTTTCCCACTCGCCAGTATACTGATCGCCGTTTACTGAATAAAACGTATTCCTGACACCTCTTTTATCAGCATTAAAGTTCGATTCTTTCCATAAAGGCTCTCGTTTTTTTGGAATTTTAGTTAAAGGCATTCTCTATGCCGATTCAGAATAAATTTGTTGACAAAAATTGTTACCATGGCAGCAGCATGGAGATGATGAATGGTCAGCGTAATATGCATTTAGTTAAAACTTCGTGTAAGAATAATGTCAGACTACAGAATAGACACCTTACAGAAGACTGACTTCTTGGTTTTGCCTATGATTTTGGCATAATCGTTGCAATGCTGTCGCCTGTTCCTAGCCAGTGCGCTTATGAGAGGCATTCACCCCCCTGAAAATATTACAAATGGCAGATGTTCAGGGTGGTGAAGTGCACTGGCTAGGAATATGGTGAGTGCATTTTGATGACAAATCATGGTGTGGAGGCGGTTCCACTTTTTTGGCTGAGTCGACCCTCTGCAAGGTTCCTATTCTGTGTCCATACTTTTCCCTTGATGATTAAAGTTGAAGTAAAATTACAAAATTACAAAGTGGCATGGGGGAAATATATAGTGAATAATTAACTACAATAATAATATTACTACTACTAATATTATATAATATTACAACTCTTCTTAACAAGCACAAGAAGATTAAAGAATAATTTAGTTTGCTTTGGGTTTTTTCCGGGCATCTTTTTTAGCTTCGCTTTTCTCTGCAGTGTCTCGTGGTTTCTGCCACTGTAACGGATCTCTTCGATAAAATGGCCACGGTGGGAGTACAATCTGTAAAAATGCAAAACAAAACTTTTTTATTATGCCGACGTTAAAAAACCAAGTGTGTGCGGTGTTGAAGAACAAGATGCTATTACTTAGGTAACGCTAGATCGAATATACTTACAATACAACTCAGTAGAAATCCAGCCAATAATATTAAAACTGTCAGATGAAACTGTTGTTTATAATAACCCCAGCAAAAACCACATATCTAAAAAATAACTTAGAATGTTATTCCCTAAATGCTTGACCAATTGAAAGAAAACAAAGTTAGTCAATATAAATTTACTTACACCAAATAAAATCAAGATCCCATTGAACACCTTTTCCGCAAACTGTTGGCCTTTATAGTCCTGAGGAAATTGAAGTCAGAAGTTTAACTTTATAATGTCATATAGTCATTCCAACAGCAGATTGCATCGGATTGGGCAGTTTGTTAGAATCAAAGAAAAATAGCAATTGACGTAATTGTAATCAGTTCATTGTGATACTGAATTGTGATAATTTCATATCCAATTTCAGCTGGCCATACAATTGCTCCTTGCAATTTTCTAATCTGATCTCTTTGCAACCCTGACAAGGATTCAATATTTAAAGGATTTAAATCCATCAATCCGATTCAGATTTCAGATTAAATGATTTGCAACTATTAGGAAAATTCTGGTAAGAATGAACTACTATTGTGTCAGTAATAGTACTGTAGTGCAACATGTACCGCCAGAAATATTAATACTTACAACAAGACATGCAACTTTTAGTAGTCAAACAGACAACTGAGACAAGCACTGTTGAAGCACATGCAACATTACAATACTTTACACACCTAGCTCACAGTCAGATTTATAAATGACATCTTACCATATGGACGGGTATATTTCTAATCCAGTCAATAATTGCAAACATTTTCGCCTCCAATATAAAAACAACAGAACTAATATTTCAAAAATCTTGCAGTTTTCAAAACAATCATCAAAATAACACGTATAGAATAGGACAATAGCCTTGAAATTGACAGGTGATTCAGGCTAATTTTGTCGGACTCTAAATATCCTAAAATGCCCCATGTTATCCCTTTATTATCCCACATTATTTCTAAAAAACTGTATCCATCCTAATTTATCCCTCACCATTCCTAATAATCTAGCGTTACCCCTAAATTACCCTCGATATCTCTATTAAACCCTATCTATCTTAACTTATTCCTGGTCATCCACAATTGTCCTGCGCTATCCCTAAATATACCCATCTAACCATACTTATTCCCACGCTACCCTCAGTATCTCAAATAGATCCTTTCTGTCCCAAATTATCCACCATCTTCAACAAAAAATGACAGACAAGAAATTTCATTATGTTTTGGTCGGAAATATTCCATCCAAATTTCACTCTGTGGACCTTCGTTCGTTTTTCTCGCAATTTATAGAAACAGAGAAGTTCGACTGCTTTCATTTTCGCCACAGACCCGAGGTTTTAAAGCGAAAAATCGACATAGAAAATGGAGATAATTCAGAATTAACGAACGACTTCATAAAGGGAAAAACTACTTGTTGTGTTGTTCGGTTAAAGAAGGAAAATGTCAAAGAATTACTCGAGATTTATGACGGTGAAAATTGGACGGATAAAGACGGGAAGTTGTGTGCTCAAAAGGCTGTTATATCTAGGATAATTATTAAAAGTGGTGGAATGTGTAAGTGGACGACAAACAGACACATTATTAAACAGACAGACACACACATTAACAGACAGACAGACACTGAATAGACAAACACATACAACAAATGTTTGCACGTGAGGATAAGCAATCGTAGCCTGCATGGCAGGCGGTACGTAGGAAATACCGCCTGCCGCAAAACTGGGTGTAAATGAACTACCGCCCCTGAAGCATCAACGCTATTTATAGATGCATTAATTAAGTAAATATTCAAAATTAGCCACTCCCAAGCTGCTCCCAAGTCCCAACTGCCCAACATAAAATAAATTCCTTGATTCTTATCACCGCCCGACTGAATTTTAAAATCCTCGTGAAAACGTTTTATTTTTCGTTATACAATATAAATGTACCGCCCGACAAAATAATTCAAGACAGTTAATTTTTTTATATTTTATATAGGGTTTTTAGTGCCAATTTAAACTTCCAATTTCAAACAAACAGAATTTTGAATGAAATTTCATTGTATTTTAAAGAAACTCAGTCATTTTGTCATTGTTTGTGGAGATACGAACTATTGATATATAAATTATATAAATATAAAATATAAAAAATAAATCTCCCACTGTCTTCGACATTTCAAAGTGTAGACTGTGTCTAGTGATGAGAATTAAGGAATTTATTTTATGTGTTTAATAATATAAACCAAGCCCGTTTAGCCGTTTAGCTGCCTTAAAACGGTGGTTTAATTTAATAAGCTCAAAATACTGAGCATGCAAGTCTATACTATAGATTCATCATCAGTCAACAACCAAACTAAAAGTATTGAACCTTATAGAACGATAGTTTTTATTTGTTTACAACTATACATATTCAACGGGTATATAAGAGTTTAACAGTTATTTGATAATTACTGCATCAACCGGCCCCTTGTTTATACTTTGGAGGTTCGTATATAATATCTATCAAGTATCTTTGGTTCAGAACATGACTGATAGGCCTATATGGAAATCCCACTGTTCGATTCAGTGAAGAAATATCTCCTAATTTCTATCGATAGTTTTAGTAAAATGTCAACATTATTGCGATTTATGGCCTTTGAAAGTCAAGCGAGATAGTATATTATCAAATTAATACGCATGTAATTGTCTGAACGAAAATATAGACTAGCCCATACCTTTCGCCGATCATAACTTCGGCCTCTTCGGACGTATCTTCTTTGTTAAATATTCTTGTTCGAATCTCTATCAATAACACTATTTAGAGTGTTATTTTTCAGCTTGTATCTTTTAATTTGCTTCTTTTATTATGTTATTCCATTTCTGGTCTGACTTGACGTGAACTAATTTCAAAACGCAGAGTTTCAAAACGTCAAAACTTTTGGTTAATGATTAACATTTAACCGAATTTAGCCGTTGATTGACAACTACATAAAAATACTAACCAATCCGTTTTTCCCGTTCACCAGCGGACGGGTAATTCAAAAACCCCTAGTTTTGCGGCAGACGGTATTTCCTTTGCTTCCCTAATTTTCGCTGCCCGTAGAAATACCGCCTGCCATGCAGGCTAAAGCAATCGCAGATCAAATCGTTGTCTACAGGGTGAAAAAAAAGGAGACCTTTAGAAATCAACCATATTGTTAAAATTTGAATGCCTTTTCAATTGCACATATGCTGAACCTGATGGGGTGCATATATTAGAAAAAGGAGACCTTTAGAAATTGAAATAAATTTAAACAAAAGATTTTCTGCTCCTGGGAACAATCTTCCATGCATACTGTATGCACTCGTGGGCTTAGCAAAGTGCTCCAGGATTCAAATTATAACAATGGTTGATTTCTAAAGGTCTCCTTTTTCTAATATATGCACTCCATCAATATTTCACGCACCATGGTTCAGCATATGTGCAATTGAAAAGGCATTCAAATTTTAACAATATGCTTGATTTCTAAAGGTCTCCTTTTTTTTAATACACCCTGTAGATTTGACCATACGGTTTCATGCGAGACTGACAATATTATTACCTGCAACTGCTTATCATTAGATGCAAATGATGGTAAATCTGATTGTGATATAATGCATGTTTTTCAGCCAATGGTGTGTATAAAACCAGGAAAGAACAAAGAGATCACACAAGAGAGAAAATTGAGTTTATCATGGATGACTTATTAAAACTATCCGAGCTACACCCACCATCATTTATGCCAAGTGGCAACATAGGTACAAGCCTAATGACCTTTATGAGCTTGATCAGAACTTGTCGACTGCCACCACATGTAATTAAGAAATTGGGTCTCAGTTTTCCAAGTAGCCGCAGCAAGCATTGTTATGGTAATGTCAGGCTTGATTATGGTAATGATGCTAATGAAGGGGGTATTTCGTTATGCCCTGAGGATGGTGTTAAGAAAAATGCAAAGGATGAAAGTGTTGAATCAGAAGAAACTTCTGTGGAAAGGACGTCAATTCAACATAACTCGTTAGGTCCCTCGTTAATGGACAGTAATCATAGTAATCAACAGAATATTGTTCCTAACAATGCACAGAATAGCGAGAGGCGGAACACTAACAAATCATCGCCAAACAAATCGTCTCCAAACATTGACATCGGAAATCGACCCAACAAGAAATTTGAGTCATCAAAAATTGCATCTGACGAGGAGCAAAACAGTAATCGACCCAACGTTGATGCTGAAGATTGCGAGTCATCGTCGGACACAGAATCTGAGCCCGAGGAAGACTGGGAACGACATGAAGCACTCCACGATGACGTGGATTGTCAGGGTCGGACGAAGGAGAGATTGTTTGAGAATAAGATTGAATTGAAATGGGAGAAAGGAGGCAGTGGGTTGGTCTTCTATACTGATGCAGCCTACTGGGACAGTCTGAGTGGGGATTTTGATGAACAAACTGCGGATGACTGGGATATTGACATGAGCATCTATGAAAAAGGAGGTGAGTCTTGCTATTGAAACAGGACCATAATAATGAGAAATGAAACTGGTATACATGTTCATAGATTCCAACATCTTAACCCATTGAGCACCAGACTGAGTCATTTCCCCTCGACAAGTTAAATCATCTGGCATTAGACAGGGCAAAATAATCTGAAGTCAAAACAGAGTAGGACCTTCGCTTGAAAGGCCAATGACGACAAAGGCCTTTGCATATGGTAACTTTATTGGTTTAAATAACACAATGATAAGTTTTGGTCATGTTTATTTAGGATATTGAATTGACTTTAGATGCTGGAATTTTTTAAAACAACAAAATATGTGTACATGCAATTTGTATAAAACTAGATTACCAGTACTCAGTTCTTTTAAATATTTTGCTTGGCAGGATATGGTGACAGGCATTCAAAAGCTCTGATGGACATGAGAATTGCAGAGCAACGACGTTTGGACATTGATGACACGTCAAAGATTGGAGACTTTGAGAAACACACAAAAGGTTTTGGCAGCAAGGTAATGAAGAGCCAAGGTTGGACCGAGGGTTCCAGTTTGGGTAGCTCTCAAGTTGGTATCACCGAACCAGTACCTAACGAAGGCCAATTACCATATTGTAAAACAGGGCTTGGATATTATGGTGAAAAATTAGACCGACACATCAAGAGGCCTCGTGTCGATAAAGAGGTTATAATATCGACGGTGTTTGACGAAAGAGCCAATGAAAAAGTTTCAACGCCTCTGCAATCTGCAGGGCCATTTACGTTAAAATATCGGCGTAAAATGCCGGATTTTGTACGGCAAGGGGATAAGAAAGTATTAGACAAATTTGCATTGTCAGGGGAAAATAGTTCAACACTAAAATAAAAAATAATTTATTTACTAAATTGGATATCAATATTCCACTACATTACATCATCTAACTCCCTCACTACAACAGATTATTGTGCCCTATAAAAAAATACATATTTGTACAACATGTTCAACACTGAGAAGTCAGTTGGCTAGTACACTACATATATGTATGTTGTATGTTAAAGTTGTGTTGTGTTGCATAATTTCACTCAGTTGACTATTTTTTGCTTGCCCCAATATATACCTGTACAAATATACACAGTGTTTAACATATTCACATTGGAGTCTTATCATACAGCATCATGACTCCCTCTGCTCTCTCCAAATCTTAACATATTCACATTGGAGTCTTATCATACACCATCATGAATCCCTCAGCTCTCTCCAAATCTGTCTCGTACTTGCTGTGAATGGAACTAAAGCCATCTGCAATGTCTTGGGCGAGGCAAGCTGCCTCACGTTCAGACAACATCATACGAGGATCAGCTTGTCCATCAAGTGCTGCTTGATGCTGTTGAAAAATATTCACTTTGGTTCGCAGTTCCATTAACGCCTCTCTGCTTTCTCGAGTTTTTCTGATTCTGGCATCCTGCCTTCTCTGTAGAAAAATTACTATGATGACAAGACTGTCCACATCTCTTGCTAGCCATTAAATCACAATAATGGCAATGCACCTAATTTGCTATTTTTCTCTGTCTAAAAATTCATGATGTGACTTGTCAATGGGAAACATATTTGCCATTGCATAGGGTGAAGCGGTTAATTGAAAACCTGAAAAAGCCTGTGGTTTTTGAAGACTAATTCAACTGTATATTTTGACACTGTAATAATATATATGTATATTTTGACACAAGTTATAAGAATTGGTTTGATCTGGGTTTTCTTCCTATATTTTTTACTCACCCTAAGTTCGCTACTTTTAAATGGCATACCAGTAATTATGAAGGATACAAACCAGTCTCCGTTCAGCTGCTTTCCGTTGTTTTTCTTCCAATTTTAAAGCAACCATCTCCTGGTTTTCTGCCTTCAAGTCCTTCTTCTGTAAGCTGGCTATTGCTGGCTTCTTTTTACACTTCTTTGAACCCCCTACATCATCAAATGGTATCTCAAATGCAACACCTTCATGTTTTTGTCCATGAGCTTCTGAAGAAAAATTAGATGATGGTTTATTCTTTACTGGAATTTCAGCTGGCTTCTTAGTTCCTCTCTGTGTATTTTTGGTCGTTTTTGAGCTTTTCAAAGCCTTTTGCCATTTGGTTTCAGGCAAGTGACTCATTTGGCATCTTCCTTCGTCAACTTTGAGATCCATATTAAGCAGCTGTAGCCTCATCTCGTTAAACCCTTTGACGATATCGTTAGCAGTTTTAAGGATTTCTCTTCGAGACATCATGGAGACTTCGTTAGGGTTTGCTACTTTTCCAGTTCTTAACGACTGTTGTTGTAGTAGTATGTCTACACTGCATGCAAGTTTTCTGGTTGATTCCTCTCGCTCGTGCATTCGTTTCAACCTTGCCTCTAATCTTGCCTACATTAGAGATTATAAAACTACAGTTATATGACCACATGACTATGAGTTCTCATTGGCTAGTTCATTCAAGCAGTTCAGCACTAAGCTCGCAAAATCTGCAGATGGTAAATATTTTTCTCCCGAGGTGAAAAATATGAAACACAATAGATATTTTCCTCAAGAGATTAAATCCTCACAAAAACTATCTGCACACAAGACAAACATGCTGAGATAGTGCCACTCGAATTAGCTCAGCAGGTTTCCCTTGTATGTGGCTGGCTCGGCCAAAAGCTCTCATCTGCAGGACTTAAGAATGATTCTACCAAAGGCTGCGTAGGATTTATCCTACTGGACCTCTAGGGGAAGCAGTTTATAACTCAGAGCTATCTCGTATAAATAAGTTAGATTAGTGATATACCTGTCTTCTGTCCTCAGCTAGCTTTTGTCGCTTCTCAATTTCATCTGCAGTCAATGGCTCTTTTCTATTTTGTTTCAACAAAGCCAATCTTTTCGGCTCTGGTTTCACTGCATTTTCATCAAGTATGATATCAAATGTGACTGCAGATGTTTGCTTGACATTCTCCTGTTTCTCCATATTCAGATAATGCTGAAATATGTACATGAAATATGTTGTAGATGGCCTCTATTGTATGACGTATTATAAAAGTCACTGGGTCACTAGTGATTTTTACATGGATTTAATCAGATATAAGGCGTATTTTGAGGAGTTTTGAAACCTAAAATACATACCTTTCTATTGCACTTTGTATGATATTTGCCTGTCAAAGTTTTCTGGTGAAAAAATTTTGTTTTTCTCGCAAAATATTCTTTGCACAAATATGGAATGTTTACATGATGTCACACTGTATTATTTTGTTTTGATTTGGAGCATTCAATATCGAAGCACTGTGATTGGCCATCGCTAGGTAACCATCACGATAACGTTCAAGTTGCATTGAATGGCGATTCGCAAACGAAATCCAAGATGGCGGATGACAAAGGAGCGAAAATCGACTTTTTTCGCGATACTTTGATTAGATATTTAGGTAAAACCGTTTCTGGTTCAATAAATTTAATCATTTTATTTTTTTAGTTTATATACGAGTGTTTTTGTGTTAGTATTTAGTGTCTCCTCATTGCAACACACCCGGGTAAATATTGGATTTAAATTCGTAAATATATAATTTCTTACGTGCTGTTTTTGTCGTGCTGTGAAAGCTTCGTATGGCCAGATAGGGGTTTCCTGTTTTCATAGGTGATTTTCCATATTATTATCCCAATATGACGTCTTACAGATTAAAGTTAGGAGTACTAGTTCAGTTCACTGAGTTAAGGATGTTAATATAATTAATTTCATGCAGGTTATGCAAATGAGATTGGCGAGGCATTCAAATCTCACATATCAAGAGTTGGGTATTTCAGCAGCTATCTGGTTGCCTCGAGTTATGCATTAGGTGATGCATCGTCCAAGAGTTTGGAAATGTACCAGGTTAGCTGACTGGAGGGCTTTGCTTATTTAATACTGTAGACCTTTTATCAAGGGATGTCATGGAGCTAATAAACATTTGTAAATTGTTTTAAGGCTGCACAGGGTTCTTAACATCATGTTGTGGTACCACACTTACTGTAAATTCACTATTTAGCCCCCCCCCTCTCAAATAACTGACCCTATATTTGTCTCATCCCTTCACAAAAACATACTGGTGTTAGTCCACTAAGTGTCTTATTGCATTTCAGCTAAAACGAATAACCCTACTTTCTATTACGCCCCTCCCTATTAAGCCCCTCACTGTTAAGCCCCCTCTGCCATCTTTGTCAAACCCCTTCCTTGTTAAGCTCCCATTTGTCAAGCCCTTCTGTAAAATAACCCCCCCCTTCTGTCAAGTCCACCCCATCTCTATCAAGCCTCCTGCCTCTGTAAAGGCCCCCCCCCCCTACTATCCTATAAATTATCCCCCAGGGCAATGACGCACGAGGCAAGGGCACAATCAGTAAAATTTCAAGGGCTGATAGTATGACGCACGAGACAAGGGCACAAACACTAAAAGTTCAAGGGCTGATAGTCAATAATGCTGTCTAAAATGTTCACTTCAGACCAAAGAAAACCTACCTCAGGAATTGCGTTTGCGTTCATGTGCCGAAGCGTTTATCGAGGCGGTCACTTGGCAAGGATTAGCATCCGTCGCAATCCCTGGTTTTACTATCAATAGAATATGTTACGTAATGGGCATCGTACTCCGAAGATTTGCTTCTCGTGTGCCACCTGGGACCCAATCTTGGATAACAACTGCGGTCGGATTGGTGGCAATACCGATAATTATACACCCAATTGACAGGTATGATATTTGGCTGGTTTATGCATAGCCTATCGAAGGGAAGATGGCTGTGAAACTCATTAGAATAACAATATAACTCATTATCTATGTTAGTCAACGTTTATTCATAAATCTGGTCCTTCACCGTCACGTGTGTATTGTATTTCTGCCAAATCCACCAATAGCAATTTCCCCTATT